ACTGATTCAGGGACATCAAAGTCCTTATGTATACTGTCATCACCCCCTCATCCTTTTCAATGATTTTGTCCTAGATTCAGCCTCTAGAAGACAGGTTTTACTGTCACTCTTTAAGAATGTTACTAAGGAGTCATTCTACTTTTCGGAGGCAGCTAACTCCATAACTGGTAGATCTTATGGACAAGCAATTCCAGTCTAGTCTTTTGACTGAATGCCATGCATTTCTAAGGAAATTAAGAGAACAAGAGTAAATTAAGAATGTATTCAGATTTCAGTGTATTTTGTTTTATTACAAAAATAAGTCACAGTTGATCTGCATTCATCAGTTATCAGGTCTGACTTCTCATCACAGCATACCCACTAATTAACTATATATCTGGGATAGATTGCAAAAATGTCCCAAATCCATTACCTTTCCCTGTTACAACTTTTCCCATCAAAGGTTGGGGTCTTTCCCCATCCTTCGAATCTTAGCTGTTCTTGTGATTTGCTCTGGCCAATAAGAAGCAGTGAAAGTGGCATTATGTGAATTCCAAGTCTAGGCCTCAAGAGGTCTTGCAGCTTCCACTCTTGGGAACCCCGACACCACTATGTGAATAGGCCTGGGCTAGCCTGCTAGAGGTTAAGAGGCCATGTGGAGAGATGCCCAGCTATCACAGCCATCCCAGTCAAGGCCCCAGACATAGGAGTGGGTCCAGTCAAGAAAAGTTTTGCCTGGTGAGACCATATGGAGTGACGTTAGAACCGTGAGTTAATTATGTGGATGCTGTTTTAAACCACTGGGCGGCAGTGATGGTTCAGCAGTAGAATTCTCACCTTGCACGTGGGAGACCTGAGTTTCTTGGCCAATGCACGGCATCTGCAGCCACCACCTCTCTGTCAATGGAGTCTTGCATGTTTTTATGATGCTAAACAGATCTCAGACTATGACGGACCGGGGAGAAAGGCCTGGGATCTATTTCCAAAAATTAGCCAATGAAAACCCTATGGATCACAACGGTCAGATCTACAGCTGATCATGGGGATGGTGCAGGATCGGGCAGCATTTCCTTCCATTGTGCATGGAGTTGCCATGAGTTGGGGGCTGACTTGAAGGCAGCTAACAACAATTTTAAACAACTAAGTTTTGGGGTGTTCGTTACACAACAAAAACTAACCGATATAGTAGCCCTGAAGCAGATCAAAACCACACAACTCAGATTCTTCTCCAGGCACCCTCAGGCCCACTGGTGCTCTCTCAGATTCTTGGAGGTTTAGGAATACTCAGCTGCTTTCCCCAGCCCAGGCTGATGTGCATGGGCCACTGTGAGGCTGTATCAGGTACAGCCACTGGGGGACCTCTCTCAGCCTCAGCCTCCTCTGTTCCGGTGCCTCGATAAATGAGAGGTTTCTCTTAGAGTTTTGCAGTCTCCTGGATACACCTGAGATGTGTGGCACAATTCCTTCTGCCTTCAGATCCTCCATAACATATCTGAGGCTAGCATCACTCCCTCCCACCCCAGACTCATTCCAGAGAAAGGGAGCCAGGCTCCAGTACTCTCTTAAGGACACTCAATGAAGTCTAACTGTCTCACTTTCCTCTTCCAATCCCTCCCCTCCCTCATCCTAATGAAATCTTTACCCGGTCTGGGGCAAGCATTGCCCTTACATCATCATACATTCTTACCCACTTTGTTGTTTATGGATAAACTTTATGTTCTACTCCAAGTTGTAAAGGGAGTTAAGTGGGAAAAAGATGCTCTTTGAAAACTTCAAAGGTGGCATTTCAGCTATGTCTCCATAACGAATAATAGCTTCTTAGTGTGAACTTAGTATTTATAAAAACTTTTGGGAAAAAAGAAAAAACAAAGTAGTCTGTAATTGATGATCCTAAAATGTCAATTTATAAAGTTGTTTGGACATGATATCCTTTAGCAAAAATACCTTATTTCTCTAGGGTATGAGTTCCTTTTGCCAAAATTTGCATTAGCTATAATAACAACTGATTTTTCTTCTGGGCATCAAAACTATTTTAAGGCTTTATTTTTCTTGCTTCTTATGTCACGCATAATTGATTATGAGATGGACACCCTCAAGAAACATTGGCCACACTATTAACATATTTAGGTCACAGCCAGTCCAAATATTCAATGGTCTAGAATTAAAATGAGGAGGAAAATATGTGCCATTCAACTTTAGATCAGAAATAAGGTTCCTAGGAAATATCAGAAGAATTCTACACATCGGGAGATGCTTTCATAATCTTTTCTCACTCTTGATCATGCATCAAGCCATCCCTAGAGCAGCTGGATCCACAATATTTGATATTTTATGCTTCCTCCTTCTGCTGTGAACAATTTCACTCTGATATAATTTGATTTTTAAAAATCAGCTGCACCCTCAAAGCAAAAAAAAATTTTTTTTCTGAGTCAAATAGGCATTTTATTATTATTGTTTGGGAAGTACTTTATTCAAAATGATGCTAGTGGTAAGAATTTCAGGATTGTATACTGATTTTGAGGGTAGGAAGTATCTTTTTTACTTTTGGTGAAAATATACACATCAAAACATACACCACTTCAACAATTTCTACATGTACAATTCAGTGACATTGGTTACATTCTTCAAGATGTTTCACCTTTCTTGATATCCTTTTTGAAATTATTTCACAATCATTAACACAAACTCACTCACCCATAAGCATCTCATCTAAACTTTTGAGTTTCTGTTGTCAATTTGATCCAATATAGGTAGTTCTTTAAAAGATCACAATGAGGGGGGTGGGGCCAAGATGGCAGAGTAGTCAGATGCTTCCGGTGGTCTCTCCTACAACAAAAACCCGAAGAAACAAGTGAATCGATTACATGTTACAATCTAGGAGACCTGAACATCAAAGGCAAAGTTGAGGAATTGGACTATGTGGCAGGGGGAGGGAGAGACAGTTCAGAAGCAGCAGGGAGTTGCTAGACCTGACCTGGCAGGAGCTGGTGCCCTGCGGGTCGAATTGGTTGGCGTGCACAGTGAGGCAAGCCGTGGCATTTGGGACTTGTTTTCCACATCAGGAGAGACTGAGCAGTGGAGAGTCTGCTCAGGCCTCCAGAGCCAGTGAAAAGTGGTGCTTAATCGACAAAAGATAAGTATGTGTTTAACCTACGGCACAGATCAAAAAACACCCCATTTGGGCAGAAACTCTCTCCCATTTACCTGCTCCCTCCCCGCTCTACGCTGGGTCCAGGCTGGCTTCAGCGATTGCTGATTGCTGCATCCCCTGGGCCGGAAATAGGACCTGTCACGTGCCCTGAGCCATACTCCCTGCCTTGGAGAGGGAACAAATTAACAAACAGAAAAAAATAATCTGCCAGCTCCCCTAAGCTGGGAACTCAGGGCAGGCACAGCTCCTTTGCCTAGGCACAGGCATAAGGGGTCCACAGACTTTGAATGCCTTTCACCCCTGCATGGAACTGTATGGGCCCATTTCAACACCGTAGGCCCTCATTAGCACAGTACAACAGGATATATACCTGAAGCCTAGCTTCACTGTATTACCTATATGGTGGAGTGGCAGGTTTCTGATATTTGATACCTCTCTGCCCATTAAGCAGGGTCCTCACCTACCCACATCACAGGCCTGAAGACTGGTGGCTCCACCCACACCACCTAGCCGCCTGCGACAGGGGTCCAAGAATAAGTGGTGCCTCCCAGTCCTTACAGCCAACAGCACTGGGTGCCCATAGTCCAGCTGCAAAACCCAAGCACCTACGCAGTCTAGGGAACAGAGACAAGCTTTCCTCCCAGACATTCAGGGGCAGCCGTCAGCCTCTGCCTTGCTCAGTGCATGACCCCGTACTGCAGCCAGATACCTCTGCCTACTCCAATCACCCCTGCCCATCTAGAACTGTAGGTGACAGCCTGCACCACACATTTGCTGACTGACTATCTGGACACATGAGCCGAATCCATACAAAAAAGTAAATGGATTCCTGGACTCACATACCTAGTAACAGATCTAACCACCTGGTGACAGGAAGTTAGAGCTTCAAAGGCGTCAATAATCAAACTAGCTCACATGAGCAGCCTATTTGGTCATATCAAAACAAGAAGATAGGACACAATAAGCAAACATAAAATAAAATAATAACTTATTGATGGCTTGGAGACAACAGTCAATATCAAATCACATAAAGAGGCAGACCATGATGGCTTCAGCAATCTCGCAAAACAAAGAATCAAAAAATTTTCCAGAGGAAGAGAATTTCTTGGAATTACCAAAGGTAGAACACAGACGATTAATATACAGAACTCTTCAAGAGATCAGGAAGGAGCTCATGCAAAATGCAGAACCATCCAAGGCACACACAGACAAAGCAATAAAGGAACTTAAGAAGATTATAGAAGAGAATAATGACAAATTTAGCAGCCTGCAAGAATCCATAGAGAGACAGCAATCAGAAATTCAGAAGATTAACAATAAAATTTCAGAATTAGACAACTCAATAGAAAGTCATAGGAGCAGAATTGGGGCAATGAAAGTCAGAATTAGTGAGATTAAAGTTAAAGCACTTGACACCAACTTATTTGAGGAAAAATCAGATAAAAGAATTTTAAAAAATGGGATGCTAAAAAACACTGAATCAACCTATCTATCCCAAGAAAGGACACAGCTGCAGAGAGGGCAGTTCTGTGGTGTTCTTGATCACACATTTATGGAGTTTCTGAAAGGCAGTGGAGATTACTGCCAGGCACAGTACGACTTCTATGCAGACAAGTGAACTGTAGAAATTCATTACTACTCCTCCAAGAAGCCCCCATAAGAGCAGTTAACCTGGACACAGAAGTGTTGAATTGAAATCTGCGGATCAATTTTTAAGAGTTCTGACCTGGATGGGGTAAACCTCAGTGCACTTCCTTTCCATTGCCTCGGTATTACTGGATTGAAGAATTGCTGCTTCTTGTTAGGAGGTTCATTTCATTTTCCATTACCCCCAACATCATACTCAAAACACTGAGAATTTCAAGTGGAGTATTTTGAAGTAGACTTCAGTTTCTTTACGTCATTTCTGTATTCACTTTTTAAAATTCTTTCATAACCCTATCGAGTGTTTTGTAACTAAATTAACATGGCTCAAATTAACCACCCAGTTCCTGTGGAAGTCACATATAAGAACATGAGATTTCTTATTACACACAGTCCAACCAATGTGACCTTAAACAAATTTATAGAGGAATTTAAGAAATATGGAGTTACCACAATAGTAAGAGTATGTGAAGCAACTTACGACACTGCTCTTGTGGAAAAAGAAGGCATTCATGTTCAGATTGTTGATGACTGGTTAAGTCTTGTAAAAATTAAGATTCGTGAAGAACCTGGTTGTTGCATTGCTGTTCATTGTGTTGTGGGTCTTGGGATAGCTCCAGTGCTTGTTGCCTTAGCATTAATTGAAGGTGGAATGAAATACAAAGATGCAGTACAGTTCATAAGACAAAAGTGGTGTGGAGCTTTTAACAGCAAACAACTTTTGTATTTGGAGAAGTATCGTCCTTAAATGCAGCTGCGCTTCAAAGAGTCCAGTGGTCATAGAAACAACTGTTGCATTCAATAAAACAGGTGCCTGATGGTATTGCCTTGGAAGTGGAACTTGAGACAGGACCGAATTTGTCATGCATATTTACCAGGATGTTAGTTTGGTGAATAAGTTTAATACAGCTTCCATAGGAGTATTGAAAAGCAGTTTCACCAGGCTAAAAGCTTGACAGAATTGTAAACTCCATGTCTGGGTTACGATCGACCTATCTGGATACTTCGCGAAGGTTTCTTACTGTTCAGCATTTAAAATGTGCTTATCGTTTGTACCAATTGACCTTTCCTGAAATCATGCAGTATTGTTATAAGTCTTTTTTAAATCTATTTCCATGCCAGAATCTTATCAATACATAAGAAATTTAGAGAAATTAGGTGCTAAAATACTGACGCAAAAATCCTCAACAAAATTCTAGCCAATAGAATTATCAAAAAAGTAATTAGTCAATATATCAAAGAAGTAATTCACCATGATCAAGTGGAATTTATACCAGGTATACAGGGATGGTTCATCATTAGAAAAACAATCAATGTAATCCATCACATAAATAAAACAAAAGACAAGAACCACATGATCTTATCGATCAGTGCAGAAAAGGCATTTGACAAAGTCCAACATCCATTCATGATAAAAACTCTCAACAAAGTAGGAGTAGAAGGGAATTCTTCAACATAATTAAGGGCATTTATACAAAGTCAACGGCCAACATCATCCGAAATGGAGAGAATCTGAAAGCATTCCCCCTGAGTACAGGAACCAGACAAGGATGCCCTTTATCACCACTCTGATTCAACATTGTGCTGGAAGTTCCAGCTAGAGCAATTAGGCAAGAAAAAGAAATAATGGGCATCCATATTGGTAAGGAAGAAGTAATAGTATCTCTATTTGCAGATGATATGATCTTATCTGCAGAAAAGCCCAAAGAATCCACAAGAAAACTACTGAAACTAATAGAAGATTTCAGCAAAGAACCAGGATACAAGATAAACATACAAAAATCAATTGGATTCCTCTACAACAACAAAGAGAACTTCAAAGAGGAAATCACCAAATCAATACCATTTACAGTAGCCCCCAAGAAGATAAAATACTTAGGAATAAATCTAACCAGAGACGTAAAAGACCCATACAAAGAAAACTGCAAGACACTACTGCCGCAAATCAAAAGAGACCTGCCTAAGTGGAAAAACATACCTTGCTCATGGATAGGAAGACTCAACACTGTGAAAATATCAGTTCTGCCCAAAGTGATCTACAGATACAATGCACTCCCGATCCAAAATCCAACGGCATTTTTTAATGAGATGGAGAAACAAATCACCAACTTCATACAGAAAGGGAAGAGGTCCTGAATAAGTAAAGCATTACTGAAGAAGAAGAACAAAGTGGGAGGCCTCACAATATCTGATTTTAGAACCTATTATACCGCTATGGTAGTCAAAACAGCCTGGTACTGGTACAACAACAGATACATAGACCAATGGAACAGAATTGAGAATCCAGACTTAAATTCACCCACCTATGAGCAGCTGATATTTGACAAAGGCCCAAAGTCCATTAATTGGGGAAAAGACAGTCTCTTTAACAAACAGTGCTGACTTAACTGGCTATCCATCTGCAAAAAACGGAAACAAGACCCATATCTTACACCATGCACAAAAACGAACTCAAAATGGATCAAAGACCTAAATATAAAATTGAAAATGATAAAGATCATGGAAGAAAAAATAGGGACAACGCTAGGATCCCTAATACATGGCATAAACAGAATACAAACCGTAAATAACAATACACAAACACAGGAACAGAGACTAAATAACTGGGAGCTCCTAAAAATCAAACACTTATGCTCATCAAAAGACTTCACCAAAAGAGTAAAAAGACAACCTACAGACTGGGAAAAAAATTTTGGCTGCAGCAAATCCGATCAGCATCTAACCCCTAAAATCTACAAGATGCTGCTATACCTCAACAACAAAAAGACAAATAACCCAATTAAAAAATGGGCAAAGGATATGAACAGGCACTTCACCAAAGAAGACATTCGGGTGGCTAACAGACACATGAAGAAATGATCATGATCATTAGCCGTTAGAGAAATGCAAATCAAAACTACCATGAGATACCATCTCACCCAACAAGGCTAGCATTAATCCAAAAAACGCAAAATAATAAATGTTGGAGATGTTGTGGAGAGACTGAAACACTTATACAAGGTTGGTGGGAATGTAAAATGGTACAACCACTTTGGAAATCAATTCAGCGCTTCCTTAAAAAGCTAGAAATAGAAGTACCATACGATCCAGCAATCCTGCTCCTTGGAATATATCCTAGAGAAATAAGAGCTGTCACACGAATAGATATATGCACACCCATGTTCATTGCAGCACTGTTCACAATAGCAAAAAGATGGAAATAACCTAGGTGCCCATCAACGGACAAATGGATAAACAAATTATGGTATATTCACACAATGGAATACTATGCAACAATAAAGAGCAATGATGAATCCGGGAAACATCTCATAACATGGAGGAATCTGGAGGCATTATGCTGAGTGAAATTAGTCAGTCACAAAAGGACAAATATTGTATGAGACCACTATTATAAGAACTCAAGGAAAGGTTTAAACACAGAAGAAAACATTCTTGATGGTTACGAGAGTGGGGAGGGAGGGAGAGTGGTATTCACCAACTAGATAGTAGACAAGAATTATCTTAGGTGAAAGGAAGGACAACACACACTACAGGGGAAGTCAGCACAATTGGACTAAATCAAAAGCTAAGAAGTTTCCTGAATACAACCAAACACTTTGAGGGACAGAGTAGCAGGGTTGGGGGTGTGGGGACCGTGGTTTCAGGGGACATCTAGGTCAATTGGTATAACAAATTTTATTAAAAATATGGTCTGCATCCTATTTTGGTGAGTGGCATCTGAGATCTTAAAAGCTAACAAGTGGCCATCTAAGATGTATCAGTTGGTCCCAACCCACCTGGAGTAAAGGAGAATGAAGAACACCAATGACACAAGGAAAATATTAGCCCAAGAGACAGAAAGGGCCACATAAACCAGAGACTCCATTAGCCTGAGACCAGAACTAGATGGTGCCTGGCTACCACCAACGACCACTCTGACAGGCAACACAGCAGAGAGTCCCTGATGGAGCAGGAGAAAAGTGGGGTGCAGAGCTCAAATTCTAGTAAAAATACCAGACTTAATGGTCTGACTGAGATTGGAGGGACCCCGGAAGACATGGCCCCCAGACTCCCTGTTAGCCCAAAACTAAAACCATTCCCGAAGCCAACTCTTCAGACAAAGATTACGCTGGACTATAAGACATAAAATGATACTAGTGAAGAGTGTGCTTCTTAGCTCAAGTAGACACATGAGTCTAAATGGTCAGCTCCTGTCTGGAGGTGAGATGAGAAGGCAGAAAGGGACAAGAGCTGGTTGAATGGACACGGGAAATCTGGGGTGGAAAGGATGAGTATGCTGTCACAATACAGGGAGAGCAATTAGGGTCACATAACAATGTGTGTACAAATTTTTATACGAGAAACTAACTTGAATTGTAAACTTTCACTTAAAGCACAATTTAAAAAAAAGATCACAATGCTCAAGGCAGATATTCTTTTCTAGTTAAGCCAAACTGTTGTTTGGTTTAAAGATAACTTTAGCAGATAGTTTCTGTTTAAGTTTTAAAGACTTCCTCAGGATGACCGCCTTGACAGGGAACACAACAGACAGTCCCTGAAGGACAAGGAGAAAAGTGTGGTGCAGAACTCATCTTCACGTAAAAAGACCAGACTTAATGGTGTGACTGAGACTAGAGGAACCTCCTAAAACATGGCCCCCGGACTCTCTGTTAACCCAGAACTAAAACCATTCCTGAGGCCAACTCTTCAGACATAGATTAGACTGGACTATAAAACACAAAATAATACTAGTGAAGAGTGTGCTTCTTAGTTCAAGTAGATACAGGAGACTAAATGGTCAGCTCCTGTCCGGAGGTGAGATGAGAAGGCAGAAAGGGATAGGAGCTTGCTGAATGGACCTGGGAAACCCAGGGTGGAAAGGGAGAGTGTGCGGTCACATTGTAGGGATTGCAACTAAGGTTACATAACAATATGTGTATAAATTTTCATATGAGAAATTAACTTACGCTTTAAACTTTCACCTAAAGCACAATAAAAAAAAGAAAAGAAAAAAGATTCCCTTAGGGCAATAGCTTCAGGGGATCATCCAGCCTCAATGGCTCCAGAAAGTCTGGATTCCATTAAAGTTTGAAATTATGTTCCACATTTCCCCCCTTTTTGACCAGAATTCTTTAATAGAATCTTTGATCAAAATGTTCAGTAATGGTAGCTAGGCACCTTCCAGTTCTCCTGGTCTCATGGCAAAGGAGACACTTGTTCATGGAGGCAATTAGACACATTCCAGTTCCTCCTCTAATTTCTGACACTTCTTCCTCTGCTGCTCCAAGGCTAGGAGAGATCAGTATTTGTACCTTGGATGGCTGCTTAAAGTGAAGATTTTTTACCTTGAAGAGATTACGTGGAAGGAAGAAGAGCTAGCTGCATCTACTTGCTTAACTTTGATTATGATGCCTGTCTTGGTTATCTAGTGCTGCTATAACAGAAATACCACAAGTGGATGGCTTTAACAAAGAGAAGTTTATTCTCTCACAGTCTAGTAGGGTAGAAGTTCGAATTCAGGACGTCAGCTCCAGGGGAAGGCTTTCTCCATCGGCTCTGTAAGAAGATTGTTGTCATCAATCTTCCCCTGGTCTAGGAGCTTCTCTGTGTAGGAACCTCAGGTCCAAAGGCGCGCTCTGCTTCTGGCACTATTTTCTCGGTGGTATAAGATCCCCCCAACTCTCTGCTCCCTTCACTTCCTTTTATCTCTTGTAAGATGAAAGGTAATGCAGGCCAAAGCTCAGGAAAACTCCCTTTACATTGGATCAG